TAGACCTCAGATGTACTTCAAATACACATAGGAGAACAAAACAGGATAGTAAAAACTGAGAAGTCTCAATGTATCCAAAACCAAATGCTCCGTTGCCTCAAGGACAAACTTACTGTGGCCACAACTGCAGAAAACTTAAAGCCTTTAATCTATTCAGTTCAAGCCAAGATCTCTTTATTTTTTTGAGTATGGAAAGAACCCAAAGGAAAGAGGAAAACAACAACTAATATGGCAAGCAAATATAGATCATAATGTTTAGAAGTCTCCTATTTAGATGTTTCTGACTACATGAACAGATAAATGTATAATTTGAATGCAATGTAAGTTGTTTTGGATAAAATTGTCTGTCAAATGCATAAAATAAAATAAAATAAAGTCTTATAAGTCTTATGAGACATATCTCACTGAATTCTTCTGAGATAAATAAGCTGTTATATTAATTCAATATATTATTACATTATTATATATATATATTATTATGATTTAAAATAACTGTTTTCTATTTGAATATAATTTATTCCTGTGATGCAAAGCTGAATTTTCAACATCATTACACCAGTCGCATGATCCTTCAGAAATCATTTTAATATGCTGATTTGCTGTTCAAGAAACATTTCTTATTATTATCAATATTAGTGTTACCTAATATTTTTGTCGAAACTGTGGTACAATTTTTCTGTTATGAATAGAAAGTTCAAAAGAACCGCAATTATTTGTAATATAACTATTTTGTAATGTTATAAATGCCTTTACTGTAATTTCTGATCAACTGAATGCATCCTTTCTGAATAAAAGTACTCATATATATATATATATAATTATAATTATATATATATACTGGCCCCAGAAAACACACCAGCCCACAATAGAATAGGGATGTGCAAAACTACAGATTTTCAAGACTAGACTAACAGCATCATTTGTTCTTATTTCTGGGAAATCTAAATTGTAAACAATGAGCTTTACTTGTATTCTATGTACAGTATTTGCTGGCAATTAGTGTATAAGGCTTCACTGTAATTCATCATCTAATTTGGTACTTAAATATCACTACTTTAAATTCATACTGCTTCTATAACAAACATCCTCTCTTGCGTCCCCAACCATTATGACATAACCCGAAGCCATTTCTTCATTGACCTCAAAATGGCTTCAGCAATCGGATTGTTGCCGATACTGTCAAGCGTTACGGTCTGCAGTAACTTTCAGAGATAAACGTTGAACAGAGAGCCTGATAATCAGACACAGACAGAAACAAGAGCTGCGAGCACCAGTAGGTGGCAGCAAATCACTGTTAATAAGTGCGTCATTGCGATTGAACCGAATCATTTAAACGGTTGATTCATTCAGGAACGAAACACCGTCATGTTGCTCAGAGACACAAAACAGTGCTGTGGCTGTGTTCGGAATGATTTTTGTTGGCGAAATAGAGCAAAAACAAGCAATATGGTGTCTAAAACGTAAGTCTCTTAATTAACTTATAGTTTATTGAATTCAATGTCACATTTGTAATCATGGTCATTTTTGGAGAAAAACGGCACTCTTTGTGTGAAATTGAATAACTATATGAAGTGGTATAAATATATATATTTTCTGCCATCATGCCTTGAATTTGTGATCATTCTAAATGCATTTTAATAGACTGAATCATGCAGTGAAAGAAAACACACTAAATGCGCACACGCACTAGTCTAGGCTTCACGTAATGTATGCGTGCGCTCTGTAGGGATGTTTTGAATGGTTTTTGCAAAATACTCGATAATGTCAAATCGCACATCATTAAAACAACAATTATGATATTATCGCAGACGATATATATCGCACACCCCTAGTTCCAGATGTATACCACATTATTATTATTCTGATCTACTATTTAAACGTATTATTATTCTTCTGAGCCAAACTTTAAACACTATCTCCTCCTAGAGCTTTCAAGCTACAACCAACAAACTCAGGTCAGACCTTCAGACTGGTCTGACTCGGTGTGCTATATCTTTTTTAACTGATCCGACTTATGGTTTTCGTAAACCAGACTATCAAAACCACCTAAAATCTCATAGACTTTCATTGAGAAAACTGTGATGAAGTTGAAACTCATGGTGTTTTAAGTTGTCTACTGCCATAGCCAAGCTTAAAAACTCCCTACTGAAAAACCAGCCTAAGCTGATTGGCTGCTTTGGCTGGTCTCCCAGGCTCCCAGGTAACACGCTAATCATGCTAGAAACATGCTAGTAACTTGCTTATCATGCTAACAACATGTTAGAAACTTGCTAATCATGCTAGCAACATGCTAGTTGTGCTAGCAACATGCTAATAATGCTAGCAACATGCTAAAACATGTTTACAACATGCTAGTCATGCTAGAAACAGCCTAGCAACCACCCCAGGTACTAGGGATGCAACGGTATGTAAATTTCTTATCACGATTATAGTGACCAAAATGATCACGGTTATCAGTATTATCACGGTATTGTTAAAATGTGCTGGGTATGTTCAAAAAGTACCGACACATAAATCACTTCACCAGGTTTTATATTTAAAAATCAACAAACAACAAATAAAATGACTTTTTGTTTGCATAATCACTAAAACAATAACATTGCCAATGATGTTCAGATTTTAAATGACAACTTGACTGACAACAGTTTAATAGCATGTTGAAATATCTAACGTAAATGTTCAAATAAAGCTTTGAAAAAGTTTCATAAAATGGTAAACCTCACATTTCAGCCTTTTAAATAAAGAAAAGATGTAAGTGAAAATAATCATTGATTAATAAATGATTATATGTATTTTATCTGCTCCATAAATAATTCTAGATAACTTATCTGAATTGTTTAAATGTGTAGAATCCACATAAGCTTGTTTTTCATCAACCGGTCAAAATTTACAGCAGGGCATGCAAATTAAGTCTGTTTTTGGCCAGACAGAAAGTGCACACAGGCTGAATGTAAATATAGGTCTCTGTAAATCCACTCGCTGACAGCAGGTGGCGCTTATGGAAAAGCAGAATTAGAGCTGTTTCCCGTAACCACTTCCTTTAGGTATTACATGGAGCGAAGATGAAAACAAAATGCCATCGAATTGTTTCTGAAGACAGCCGGAACCTTCAGAGGTACATTCATATACCGTATTGACCCGAATATAAGACAATGTTTTTTTCTTGGAAATACATGTGAAAAAACACGGTCGTCGTATATTCAGGGTCTAGACTTTGACATGTCAATAATACACCCACAACAATAGGTGGCGCCAAATACGCATAAAACAAGTGTGCCATGAAATACATAATGTAATGCGTGTTGTAAAGATCGCGAGTAAAAACAAAAGAAAAAGAAAAGCTTACAGCTGCACGAGTCGTGACTGTCACGTTAGCCTGATGGGACCAAACTCTCTTTGTGATTTTAAAACGTAAGACAGTACCCAGATTTGAAGACTACAGTAAGATTTAACTTCTACTGTTAATAAGATTTTGGTAGGCTACTATTAGATGGATAGCCTAAATGTCTTAATTCAGATAGGCTACCTGTTTTTGTTTTTTTACGGTATATCAAAAAGTGTATATTTTTTAAATGTGATTGTTGGTACATTTTACCAGTTTTTACCATACTTTCAAAACAAAAATTAAAATAGGACAAATATGCAATATGAAAATAATTGAAGACAAAATGTGTTTTACTGAGAAAAAACAAGATTTGGTTTTTAAAAAGCCTTTTTCCAAAAGGTACATCTGGAAAAAGGGGGGGTCGTCTTATATTCGGGCCAATACGGTAATTAATTAATTCATATATTCATTTGTATAATTACCTTAGCACTCTTTTAAAACCATAAATGGCTGCCCACTGCTTCGGGTGTGTGTTCACGGCGTGTGTGTTCACTGCTGTGTGTGCGCACTTAGGATGGGATAAATGCAGAGCACTAATTCCTAGTATGGGTCACCATACTTGGCCACATGTCACGTCACTTTTTTTTTTAATACTAACCGTGGAGAATATTATCATGATTTATCGTCAAACCGGTAATCGTTACATCCCTACCAGGTACCCTAGCAATATGTTTTATATCTATTTTTCTGACTCTTATTGCCTTGAAAACATTCAAACTTTAATCTTTAAAACTATTTTAACTTTCAAACTGAAAACTTTCAGACTGCAAGCTTTTAAAACTACTTCAAACTCAAACGATCAGAAGGTAGGAATTATGAATCGGACATATCTGAAAGTTTCGATTCTCAGTTCAATAAGTAAACGAGTTGTCCGACTCGCAATTTTCCGACTTAACATATTCGAAATAGACGGTTTTTCTATTTAACGAGTCATTTGAGAATGGAATTGTTAAGCGCTCGGACTGATTCAGTCAGATTCACGCATGAATCGTTCAGACCGTTTAGTGAACCGACTCAGCAAACGATTTGTTCACGAATCGGATATCAGTCGTGCAAAATCCATAATAAGACATCTAAGTTTTTAGCGGTAGTCATGGTAACAGCAATCAGTTCTTGTAGTTAAAAGTAAGACATGTGCACTGCGGCCTGATTTATAAAGCTGATCGTCAATGAGACAGCATCAATTTTAACAGACATTAAAGGGGTCATATGATGCTTTTTTAAAGATCATTATTTTGTGTATTTGGTGTAACAGAATATGTTGACATGCTTTAATGTTCAAAAAACAGCCACAAAACACTTCACCATTCCACCGATATAACCCCATAAAAACATCAAAAAGCACCATGTGCATGATATTGTCAATGACTTCAAACTTTTTCACACGATAGATTGTAAATGAAAGATTATAAACCTGATGTCTAACAAAAGCGTCCAAAGTTGACAAAGCAAATGTTCAACCATCTCTGAATCACCTCGAGTTCAACAGCGACACACATCGGATCTGTCTGAACGCAAGAGTGTTTCTCAATCGCAACAAAGAGTTCAGAAAAATCAACAACTTCAGTTTGTCTTCAGAAACCTCACTCTCTTTCGCTTTAAACTGACTAAATACCTGTTTTCGGGATCCTGACAATCCTTTATTCCACCGAAGTCGCATCCGAAAGTAAACGCGCCATTACAGACGTCGAGGCATTGTGTTCAAGAGTTAATGTTCTCTGTTACAGTGCATCGGAAGATCCGCTGCAGGTCAGGAGGAGAAGCAAAGAACGCTCCAATGGGATTCTTTCATCACATCCCTCTTCCGGCCGCAAGAAGGGAGCAGTGGATGTAACGCTGGTCAACTCAAGGAATTCACTTAGAATAGAAATATAAGCCTATATGGAGTTTTGGTTCCTTGCCGCTGTCGCCTCTGGCTTGCTTAGTTGGGGACACTTCATTTCCAGCGATATCGTTGACATAATTGCAAAGATATTATTTAAACTGAGCTGGATGTTGACATCACTGAATTCAATGATGAACTGTCTTTAACTGAAAAATGAGTGTTTACTATTGTCATTTTGCATTATTGACACTATTTTCCTAATTAATGCTGTTCAGTTGCTTTGTCACAATCTGTATTGTTAAAAGCGCTATATAAATAAAGGTGACTTGACTTGACTATATGAAAATATGAAATATATTGTTTTATTCATATTATTTATAAATAAATAAAATAAATATATTTTATTTAAACACATTTATTATATTATATATTATGAAAAAGCTAAAAAAAACGCTCAGGATGTCTTCTTTAAAGACAAACTAGCAACATGAAATCGAGGTATGAATTATATGAAATAGGCTATATTTTTGTGTGTGTGTGTGTGTGTGTTTCATGTCTGTTTGGTGTCATTTCATATATTCCAGTAAACGTGATGAGTGAGCTCAGCCTACGTCTCGGTGTTGTCCTTTCCGGATGGGTTAAAAGAAAGAACCAGAAAGCGGGGTTACATAGGGCAATAGAATATACGGTCTGTACAGTATAAAAACCATTACGCCTATGGGATGTCCCCACTTTTCACAAAAACAAACCTGTGTGTGTGTGTATTACAGTGAACAAAGCTGTACTGCTGAGTCTCTGCAGGATAAACAACCAAATGTTTTTTTTTATTTTTTTATGGCATTCATAGATTTGTATGAACGCACAAATATTGTCTCATATCCCTCCTCTGGTCAGCATGTCAAATCATAATTTTATAAGGACTCCAAAGTGTATACAACAACTGTTCAAACACTACTCCTTTAGTAACTAGGCGGCTAGTAACTTCTAGTAAAATGTACTGTAAAATAAGAGATTTATATATATATAGGGGATACTGGGAAACTATCTACTATTTATTTAAATGTTATAATATTTTATAATTTTTTTATTATTATTTTATAATATTTAATTATTTAATTGATCTTAAATGCCTAAAAATCTTTTATTTGCAGGCAGTTCCCGCTGTAGTTGCTCATGTCGTCCATCAGAGAGCAGCACAGACTCATGTTTCGGTCTCTCTGAACGCTCGAAAGCCTCTTGGGGGGCAGCAGCTGTTTCGGCACATTCCTGAAAAGATTGCTCCAGAATTTTTGCATTTAGTCAGGAGTGATGCAAGACCCAACAGGGCTTACTGGCAGTCTGTGGAAGCACACAGAATTGCTTGGGAAGTATCAACAAGACTCCATTGTCAACAAGACCGTTTTTATTATTATTATTATTATTATTATTATTATTATTATTATTATTATTATTATTATTATTATTATTATTATTATTATTATTATTATTATTATTATTATTATTATTATTATTATTATTATTATTATTATTATTATTATTATTATTATTATTATTATTATTATTATATTAAAATAGTTTTCATCCATTATTGCAACCTTATTTAGTTTTTTTTCCCAATTAATTTTTAAATAATTAAAAGTTTGTTCAATTAATTTCCACATAAATAACAGTTCTAATGGTTAAGTCAGGTAACATGGAATATTTGTGCTGCATGTTTCATATTTAAATGATGACAAAGTCAGCTGGTCATTATGGCAAAACAAAACAAATCAAAACAAATCAAAACAAAACAAAACAAAACAAAACCAATCAAAAACAAACTAAACAAAAACAGTATGATACAAGACAACATATGTTGTAAACTGAATTATAGTGCTCACACCCCTAAGAAACTGAACATACATTTCCAGACATTCATTAGTTTGCACAGTGTGACCGGCAAAATCTGTCAAACATCAAGTTAATTAATTTAACACAACCTTATTTAGGTTTGAATAACCTTATTTAGTTTAGTTTTTAGCTTTTTTTTTAAATTAACTTCCACATGAATAATGGTTCAATCAGATAATCAGATAACATGGAATATATGGAATATGTGTGTTGCATGTTTCATATTTAAATGATAACATAAAATCAGCTGGTCATTATGGCAAAAAAACAAACAAAACAAAACAAAAAAATAACAGAATGATACAAGACAAAATGTTTGTTGCGTGCATATGTTGTAGGCTGAATTATAGTGCTCACACCCCCAAAAACGGAAATTTCCAGACATTCATTAAGTTGTCATGTTTTCACAGCATGATCGATCACACTTATAAAACATCACAACTGGCAGGAAGTGCTTTGCCATTGTGGCATCTTGAGCTCTTCATCCTCAAAGCAACCGGTCATGAGCAGCTCGGCTGAATGGCCATTATCGTGACATGTGAAAATGATGAAATATTTCAGGAAGGCCTCTATTAAACAACACTTGAGTGACGCAACATGATATCCTCTCTGCTGTTGGCCAGTGTGAAGGAGAGAGAGGCAGAGGAAATGAGCACTCGGGCAGAGCTGTGACAACACAGGAAATACTGAGAGTGCTGATCTTGGAAAGCACATGGAGGGTTGCACAGGGATTGTTCCCTTTTCTGTAACATTTCAATTGATTCACTATATAAAATGATTTGTGCGTTTTTCTATGAAATGTGGGGGTTTTGTATTTGGAAAGGTGATTTGTGAAGTAAATGTTTGTATTGACACATTCCCTAAGATTTGATCACAAAAAGGGTGTTTAACAGTTTAGCCATTGTTGACCAGGAAAACAACCCAGATGTGGGGCATGTTGTCACATTATGGGGTAAATTATCTTAATAGGAATTGGCATTAAATAGCACTTATTATTATAAGCTAAACAGTAAAACAAATATGGAACCCAAAAACTCTGTACATAATATGTACATGAAAAGGACTCATTCTGAAAAGTGAAAAGGACTGCTGATTATTTATGGATTGATGATATTTAATTGTTTGGATCTATTAGTGTTTTCAAAAATAAACCATAAATGCAATTATCATTTGAATTATGAAACGGGACGTAAAGTAAAAATTCTCTAGTTTTTAGACATTTAGACTGTCTAGTTTTATTAATTATAACACATATAAATTATAAATAATATTATAAATAGTTTAATAAATGATGTAATAAATAGTCAAAGTCAATGTGATGTATAACATGCAGGCACCCACTGGACAACAAGACCATTATATCATACAGGAAATTACATCACATTATATATATATATATATATATATATAATTTTTTTTATATATTTTTTTTTTTCTGTGTCATCCTTACTTTTGTTATTCACCTATTTTTTTTTTTGGTTCCATCTTACGAGTATGACGAATAAAAATCTTTTTAACTCATCAAAGTGATTACTATGACACTATTATACTATGATCTTTGTTGTGTTGTTAGAGTCCCATAGCAACAGCCCTGACAGATCCATGAGCATTAGATCGGTTATCAGAGGTACAATCTGTAATCGGTGAATCTGTGTTATGGGTGTACGAGGTGAGGAGGTTTCCTCTTTGCCACCCACTCCTAGATGCCATTCTGTCTTTCTATAGCGGCCTCTCCAGCACACAGACTCAGATTGGCACAGGTTCAGGCATGCCCATGCAGACACATTCAACCTTATATAACTCCTGCTGGTTTAAACCAGCCCAGGGAAACATCCCGGCAGGATATACATCTGCCTAACCGGTTTATTCCTGCCCTGCCTCCAGATGATGGAGGAGACGTTCACGTGATATGGCTGCACGATATTGGAAAAAACTCACATTGCGATATTTAATTTTTCTGTGATATATATTGCGAGATGAAAAAAAAAAATCACCACATGACATGAATAGTTTATTTGGGGTGGAAAAATAATCAATGATTGAAGTGATTTTCTAGGCGAGTAAATCAGCATAGGAAATAAACAAGCATAGATAAATATAACAGAACAAAGATACAAATTAAATATACATTTTTCAGGTACGTATTCAGGTCCAGAAATTGAATAATCAAATGTAAAATAACACTGCATAGTCTTCACTGTATAAATTAAATCTAATAAATCTGTGTTAAAGCTACAAAAGTGATTTTTCTTTGTGTTTTGTTGTTTGATTGACATTCATAACACAGAAAGCCTCAGGAGCATTAACCTGCTGTAAACCAATATACTCTTACACATCCATTTTCTTTCTCAGTTGTTTCCCTTCACCTAAGCCATAAGCAACTGCGTTTACAAGGATACTTGCAGAGCACAGTATTTCAGGCACAAATAGAAGCAGAAGTGAACAGAATTCAGTGTTCACGTACACTGGACGCGAGCGGCGCGGCGCGATGTGACAAAATACAATGAATCCATTATAATCAGTGATGCTCTGTCTACACTGGATGCAATAGTTGCAGCTGGATGTATCTCACTGGATATATCTCACTGGACAGACTTTGGGGCCATTCACATGTCGCGCCTAAAAATGTCAGTCGTGTCCTTTTCCCTGTTGATATTTCCAGAAACAAACATCTGATATTACAAACCTCTGCACTGAAAAAAATAAAATAAATAAACAAACAAATTAAAAAATATATATACTGTATGTTACATTTATGGAAAAAGCCCCCAAAACAAAACAAAACACACAGCAGCTGTCAGAACTTTACCATAAAAAACACAGTAGCAACATTTTAGGGTTGTACAGCTTAAATTTACAGTAAAAAACCTATACTTTATAATTCATTAACTGATTTAACGTTAAAATACCAACCTAGTGAAGTACTAAAAATCTGTTTTGTTCCTTTCTAATATACTGACAACTACCAAAAAACACAGGTGGCGATGAGAAAGTCACATGATAACACTTTTCATGGAAAATACTAATATAGATTAAATACTATGTA